CAGTCTTCCAAGGATGCTATTTATAGCTGGATTGGATAATCTATCCGTTGAATCATAATAGACTATCCGTTGCATTTGCTGGCTTCAATTTTGAATGAAGATTGTGATTTGAAGATTCCTCATTGGAATGGGTGTTTGGACATACCCATTTGTTAAAGGAGAGATTCCTTTTTCAATAGAGTCCGTCTTCTAGCTGCTGTTCAAGTATTCTGGACTGTGGAACTTTACTCTGTTTGTCTTTTAGTGCTTGTTTAGGAATTCTGGACAGGTTTTTCAATTTTTAGAGGTTCAGACTTTGTCTTCGAGTCATTTGTTCTTGAATCAGCATAATTATCTTCAATCTAGCCGTTGAAAATCAAGAGATTGATTTTTCCTTACCAACGGGTAGAATTTCTTCATTCAAGACTTAGATAATTTTCTAAGTCTTTTCTCACTTGTCCGTTTTTTGAGAATTCCGGTCTTCCTTGAGGCATCCGGTTCTTAGCTGACAAATCCGGAGGAGTCATTCTCAGACTTCCGGGTGAGAAAGAGATCCGCGCTAGTCTTCCGATTTGGGTGACTTAGCCTTCAGCGGGTTGTAGCGAGACATCCGGTTCTTATGTAGTCTTCCGGATCAGAGGATTTTCATCTGTTTGAGAAATCCTTACTTGTCTCTGGCATTTCCGATCAAGATATCCAATTTCCATATCACTGAATTTGATTAAGTCTTCAGGCATCAAAACGCTTAAAGAAATATCACAACCTTATTGGAAATCTCAAGAACTTGGTTTTAACAATATTTCTAAAAAGAAAAATTACATTGAATATTGGGGGAGACCTAAAGTCCCTATTACATTCTAAATACATCATCATCAAAATCTATGATATTTTTCCCAACACAAGTTATGCTTCTCTTAAATTAAATCAAAGGTGTTTGAGAACTATTTTTCAATTGATTTTACTTACGTTGGGACAAATTAGGATCGCGACCTAATCCAATTTAAAATGATATTCTTTTAAAGTCCAAAGTGCTTTAAATAACCGAACTTTTATAGAAACCAAGTGTCACTTGATTAACCAAGGCCGCCTCGTTAAGTGGTTTTTGCTAATCAAGGTTCTCAAACTGATTTTGTTAAATAACCTTCGTGTTACTGCAGGATTGTACGGTGATGTTTTCCACAAATCTTAATGCACTATTCTTAGTAGTAATCTAAGGGTTGGTCTTTCGGTTGCTAAGGGTAGTAGGGTTTAGAGTTAGGGTTGGTCCTAACATGAGCTTTTATGAATGGGAAAATAGGGAAGAGCCGTTGGTGGACCTCTTTTTCAGCCGGACCCTCGTTTTAATTTAAATTGGTTGATGATTATGCTAGATTTTATCAAAGTTTTGATCCTGGATATTTATTTTCTATATTATAAAACACTTTGTTGGTTTTCTAAAATTGTTTAAGTCTCTAAATTATTGTGTTATGTGTTTGTCTTCTTTGTTTGGGCTTCCTGGTGGAGTTATGTTCTGTTTTTATCCTTGGTTTGTTTCGAGATTTGTTTTGGTGTGGTGTGTCACTTTAGTTAGTTTTTTTACTTTATTTAGAAAACACTTTTTCAAACCCCCCCCATCTTTTAATTTAGTTTATAGATTTTAGATGGTTGTTTTTACTCAATAAAAAGTGACAAAGTAAACCGATTTTCATAACCTGAAAAGCATCTTTTCTCGTGGGATCAACCCTTACTTATCCTATTTACATGTTTAATAAATATTATTTTAACAAGGAGGAACTAAGTAAAGGAAAATATTAAATTAATTTTTTAGGTGCTACGACACGCCTAACAAAGGACGCATGGCACAATACAAGGAGCTCGTGCTCGCCCTGTTGAAAGGCTTCGAGGAATTCAAGATCGCCCAAATTCCCCGGGCGGAGAACGCGGATGCAGACCTTCTCTCCAATTTGAAGTCGCCGCCATAACAGCAGCAAGCCAATTTGACCGGTCAAACCTGGTCGGGGCGGACGACCATTGGATGTATGATCTGATGGAATATTTGATGGATGGGAGATTGCCAGAACAAGATGACCGGGCAAGAAAAGTGAAGCTCAGGGCACCCCGATTCCAGGTTCTTGACGGAAAGCTGTATAAGAGGGCATTTGGGGGGCCACTCCTGAGATGTCTAACCAATAGGGAGGCTGAACGAGTCATAGTGGAAGTCCACGAAGGCGTATGCGCGGCGCATCAAATGTCCCGTACGCTTTCTCAACGCATCATCTTGTTGGGGTATTACTGGCCAACAATTGTCCAGGATTGTGAAAGGTATGTTCAGAAATGCAGAACATGCCAAGTGTTCTACAAATATCCCGGTAGACCGGCGACCTACTATCACCCCGTATCGAATGTCATCCCATTCGCTAGATTTGGGGTTGATATCATTGGAGCATTCCCAGTCGCCCAAGGAGGGAAGAAGTTCGTAATCGTGGCCATCGATTACTTCATCAAATGGATCGAGGCCGAAGCATTGGCCAACATTACCACGCAACAATGCAAGAAATTCATTTGGAAGAACATCATCACGAGGTTTGGAGCTCCCATGAGCCTAATCACCGACAACGGCCCACAATTCCGAAATCCAAGGTTCACCGAATACTTGGAGGGCTTCGGAATCAAGCACAATCGCTCTTCGGTGGCGTATCCCCAAGGAAATGGCCAAGTTGAAAACGCCAACCGAACGATTGTGGATGGTCTAAAGAAACGGCTGGGAGAAGCAGGAAACAAGTGGCTGGAAGAGCTCCCACACATCGTATGTGCATTCCAAGTAACACCTAGGAGGGCTCACGGGGAAACTTAATTCTCCCTAACTTATGGGTGTGAAGCAAGGCTGCCCATCGAAGCTGAATTCCCAACGTTCCAGGAATCAAGTTATCAGCCCCAGCAAAATGAAGAAGACCACTTGGCCGAGCTCAACTTGGTCGAAGAACGAAGAATGGCCGCGGAGGTGAAAATGAGTACATACCAACAAGTTGTGAAGAAGTACCATGACAACAAGGTTGGGCTGCGGTACTTCTAAGTTGGAGATGAAGTCCTACGAAGAAGAGAAGCAAGTAGACCCGGCGATGGAGGAAAGCTGGCAAAAAACTGGGAAGGCCCATACAGGGTTAGAGCCATCATTCGACCAGGAACATACCGGTTAGAAACTTTAGATGGTGTACCGATAGAAAGAACTTGGAATTCCCACCATCTTCGCAAGTTCTACAAATGATTGTAATACTAGGCGAGGCCTAACTACATTATCAATTAAAGTGATGTTCAATACTCTACTTGGTAGCGGCGGAATTGATAGGTCAAACCTATCCTAGGAGGGCTTCCCGGGCGGATCGAATCCACTTGGATAAGCCAACTGAGACACAGGCCTGGACCTGGCACGCTGGTTACTACACCGGTCTTGCTCAGTATAATAGAAAAAATATTAAAACCCGGAAGAGGGTATGCCTGCAAGAGGGCTGGACCTGGAAGAAGGTTCGAACCGTACTTACACGGGCCCATGAGGTTTGACCGGTATCGGGGAATCAGCCGGTACCGTCGAATTGATTGGGGACTAAAAGATGCCCATTAAAAGAAATAAAAGGGGATCGTCCACCGTGGCGCATCCTGTTTCCCCCTTCTCAGGGAAGACTTGAACGAGGGGTGAGCTAAGGCTTTCCCGGGATAGTAGAAATTAAAGGGCCATTAAAAGACTTAATCACCCGGAAGAGGGGGCCCTGGAAGAAGGGTGCATTTGGACCATGGAGAGGGTTCGAAACCATTCGACATGGTTAAATCTCCAGCATTCTTACCGGTTAAGAATACTTCAAGAATTACTAGGTTACAGATGTTTCCATCTACAACCTATCGGTCAAAAAAAAAGAATACCCCGGTCGGGTGTGGGCGCAACAGAACTTCGAAAGTTCTGCAAGGCAAGGCAGTTGACCGGTCAGACCATGGAGTGGAACCTACCGGTCAAACTGTACTCTATCGAAGAATTCGTGAAGCTATCTAAAAAGCCGAAGTAAAGTTCAGCTGGTTCACTCTAGTTCAACCGGGTTGGACTTAGCGTATTCAAAAACAAGCTAAGAAAGCGAAAATCAAAGTTTGACCGGGTATGGGTTACTCGAGCTAATCGTTCAGATAAAGTGATCAAAGAGAACTTTGAAGTTCCACCGGTCGAAAACAATTGAGAAGTGGCCTGATTTATATACCGGTCAGAATTTCTATGATGGTATTCTAAGAAGCAATAACAAAGTATCAATCAAGAAGCAAGCAGATATGGAAGATTAACCGGTATGGAAATTAAGCATTGCATTAAAGCAGAACAAAAAAGTTAAGTGTTTTACAGCTACACCAGGCATTCCCGGGGAAATGAGTTCAAAGTTTTACAAGATAATTCAACCGGGTGCAGCCGAGGAGATCAGTCAAGGGGAAAAGGGGGAGTTGGCTCTTCCTCCGAGATGGGAGCCAGACCGTAGGAAGCCGCGGTGAAAGCCGGGTCTCTCTTCAGGAGGATCCGGTGGGAGGCTTCCCGGCCAAATATTTGGCCGCTTTTGAATCCGAAGGACCCAATCGCGGTTATCATCTTCTTTCCTTCAGGCTCCCGGTACAGAAGCCTGAAGGATTCCATGGTCGCTTCTGGGCTCGGCATCATCACCCGGGCAGCTTCGGCCTTGTTTTCCTCAACCCAGGCAGCTGCGCGCCCGAGGAAGTTTTCTTCCTTTTCCGCCATCTCCCTTTTAGTTTCGGAGACCTCGTCCAGCAGCTGACCGTTCTCCTCCTTCAACCGGGTGTTCTCTGCCCCCAGGGACCCGACCATCTTTGACAACTTGGCCAACTCATCCGTCTGGCTCTTTAGGATGAGGGCCAGCTCTTCGTTCTTCTTCTTCAGCCTGGCCACCTCGGTTGGAGAGTCCATTCCCAACCGGTCGGCAGTGATGGGCCCAATCTCCCCAACCTGCACAACGTACAACAACACGGTCAATCTTTGTGTAACATAAAATAAAGGTTGACCGGTGACGAGAAATGACTTACCTCCCTCAGCCGCAGACCAAGGTTGATGTAGGCCTCCTCCACGGTCTGATGGGCCGCACAGGGATCTGTCCTCTGCCTCTTGTTCATGGCAGAGGGATGGTTGGTGGCCACCTTCTTGGTCCGACGACCGGTCTTCTCTTTCTCTTTCCCCTTAGACCGGTTATCTTCGGGTTCGTCCTCATCCAAAATCTCCACGGTCTCCTGGTGGACCGGGAAGGTTTTGGCAGGGTTGGCTTGGGAGCCCCCGGTGTCTCCCGCTGGTTGGTTGTCAGGGATAGCGAACTCCTCGAACTCCATATCTGCAAAAGTGGTTAAAACCGTTAAGTACAAGCAACGGTACCGGTCAAAGCACAAATCACAAGAAGAATGAAAAGTACCTGGGTGGTTTTGGCCCTCAGCCTCTGCAGTGTTGCCCGGGGAGGGTACACCGCGCCCCGCTGCTTCATGGGCCTGGGAGGTACCCTCACCACCCGACTCGACTCGTTCCATTTCAGACCGGCGAAAGGGGTGACAAAGGGGGGAAACTCGATGAAAACAAATTTGTCCTTCCATCCCCGGTTACTCTGAGGGACTTCGGAAATGAACTTCCTACCGGTACGGGCTTTGAAGAATACAAAACCTTCGCAGCCAGTCCCGCCCGGTAGGACTTCAAAGCAAAAAAGGAAAAGGCGCAAAGTGGGGACGATTTTCAGATGGGTGCAGATATTTACAAAGGAATGAAGATACCGGTGGGCGTTAGGAGTTATTTGGCCGGGCAAAATCCTAAACGCATGGCATACTTCGGTTAGGAGGGGACGAAAGGGAAAAATTATGCCCGCATCCAGTGATATGGTGTGGAACCCTATCCTATCCTCCCGGTGGGGTTCAACAATGTTGGGCCAGTTAGGTTCATACAAGAGAGTATACCCATCCGGGAGCCTCCTACGAATTTTATTCAAAGCGATTTTGGATACATGGGAAGGGATGTCAAGGACGTAGAAGGTGGGGAGCGGAAAGTAACCGGCAGCATGAAGCCGCTCCTCCCACGCATCCCGGGTTTCGTTTTCAAGGTCATAGGGACCCGGTTCGTCATCAACTGGGTCATCCCTCCCCATGAAAACTTCACCGGGCATCTGATTAACAGGATGCAGGTCGGGAATAGAGGAGTTGGGAACCTGACCGGGCGTGGAGTCAGGAGAAGAAGACCCGGTCGAGGAAGATGAGTTGGAGTCCTCAGAGGAGCGGTCCTCTGAGGACGAAATCCTATCGCTAAAAGAAGACATGACCGGGAAAGAAAGTAGAGAAGGAAGGGGAAACTTACTTGACTCGGAGGGCTGGATAGCGAAAGAGAAGGAACTTGACCAGTGAAAGCTTTGAGACTTGATCGCGGAAAGTGAACAAAGAAGAGGGGTGGAGGCCTTTATATAGGAAGAGGAGGGCTGAAAGGAGCGACGTGGCCTCTTCAGGTTGCGCCGCGTCAGGCGGCGCAATGATGACCCACTGGCAGGCGAAACGACGGGTGTGCAGCCGACTGATTGCAACTGTTGATGCGCGACACGTGGCAAAAATCAAAGTTTGAAATTCAAATTTCAAAAATTTTAGGCGGGAAGAGCCAAAATTTCAAAATTGGAGTCCTATTTCAGACTTTTTACTTCCCGCTCATGACAAATTGCATAACCGAGAAGTGGAGGGCTTATTGATGGGTGTATTCCACCCACGACCGGTCAAAGGAGAAGACTAATTAGTTGACCGGTCAATCTCGAAAGTTTTGGAAGGGAAACTTAAATCGTCAGCAAATCGATATGTAATCGGCCCAAATATGACCGGTATACTTCACGAAAAAGTATACCGGTCAAACTACTTTGTCACCCTATTTTTCCCTAACTTCGATGATTTCATCCCACGAAGATTACCCGGTGTAGTTTCTAGGGTTGGGAAGTGTCGGCAGAAGAGAATCTAAGAGGGCTTGGCGTGTAGCGACCCATGTCAGTAGAGGACAACTGGAGATGCTGAAGAATCCATCCAAGGCACTACTCGACAAAGGGAATAATCCCCCTCACAAGGCGACAAGGCAGCTCGAGGACAAAACCAGTCACCTCGCACCACATCAGCAGCATGCCCCCACGTGGGGGCACGTGGTCTTGTCCCCCATGGCCTAGTATAAATACTCATGTAAACCTCAGAAAGAGGGATCCGAATTCATTCTCTCTAAACTTCCTTGTAAAAGCACCCGTGCAATCTCCGTTATAATATAAATTGGGCTACAGGTGTTCCACCTAAAGTCCTACCGGTCAATCTGCGTGTTTTTACCTTTCTTACTTTGCCAAATCAAGCAAACTATTCCAGACCCGGTCTAATATAGTTTGACCGGTCAAGTAATTTACACCATTAGTAGGTGTAAAATTAAAAAATAAAATTTACATATTTAAAAACTACATTAAAAGTTCTACAAAATGAGAGGTGACAAGACTATATCATTTTATCAAATAAGTAGCAAAAATAGGTAAAGAAAGTGATTTAAATTTGACTGTGTGAATAATAACTGAGAAGATAGTTTTAGGATCGAGAGAGTAGTTCGTACCTCTAACTCAGTAAATTCACACTCAATCCCGACACCAACCCACCCTTCCAACCACGTTAAAAGGGGATGTGTTCGGATAGGGGCGGGGTAAGAGAGCACCCGAGCACCTGGTGCCCGCGTGACAGTGGTTCATGGAACCTGCCTCAATTATTATTGGAACCTAAACACCGTTAATAATTTGCTTCACTGACCGGTAATTCTTGAATAAATCAGCGCTGCAAAATCACGGCTTCCATCTCTTCAATATCCATTTCTCAGTACATCCAATTCACGTTCTTCTCACACAGGATCTCGATCTGTTCAACGATTTCGCCGATGGATTCTTCAATCAAATCAGGTATGTCCTTCCGACTTTCCCGATCATTCTCCGCATTGATTTGTAGTTTCTGCGGCCTCCCTCCCTCCCAATTGACGGCCAATTCGCCCTTCTTCTTCTTCATCTTCCTTTCCTACACCTTCAGCTAATTTATGATCTTGGTCTATTATTTTCTCAACAGGCAGGGCGCCACTCACCTGTAATTTCTAGGGCTAATTCTTCATCACTTTTCGATTCTTTCTGTAATGGATTCTAGTATGAGCTTCTGCAATTCCATTATTTTGTATTGTTATCATTTTTGGTTTTTTAGGCACGCCGGCCAAGACTAAAATAGCACTGATCACCGGCATTACTGGCCAAGACGGATCATACCTCACAGAATTACTCCTGAGCAAGGCCTACGAGGTCCACGGCCTCATCCGCAGATCTTCCAATTTCAACACTCAGAGGATCAATCACATCTACATCGATCCCCACAATGCCAACAAAGCCCGTATGAAGCTCCACTACGCTGACCTCAGCGACGCGTCCTCCCTCCGCCGCTGGCTCGATGTCATCCTTCCCGACGAGGTCTACAACCTCGCTGCCCAGTCACACGTCGCCGTCTCTTTTGAAATCCCTGATTATACGGCAGATGTTGTAGCCACCGGCGCGCTCCGCCTCCTAGAGGCTGTGCGGTCCCACATATCCGCCACAGGCAGGTCCCACATCAAGTACTACCAGGCTGGGTCATCGGAGATGTTCGGATCCACGCCACCGCCCCAGTCTGAGTCCACCCCTTTCCACCCAAGATCTCCCTACGCAGCATCCAAATGTGCCGCTCATTGGTACACGGTGAATTACCGCGAGGCGTATGGGATATTCGCCTGCAATGGCATCCTCTTCAACCATGAATCCCCGAGGCGCGGCGAGAATTTCGTGACTAGGAAGATCACACGGGCGGTCGGGCGCATCAAGGTCGGGCTCCAGAACAAGCTGTTTCTGGGGAACTTACAGGCATCAAGAGACTGGGGTTTTGCCGGGGACTACGTGGAGGCAATGTGGATGATGCTACAGCAGGAGGAGCCGGACGATTACGTGGTGGCCACAGAGGAGTCTCACACAGTACAGGAGTTCCTGGAAGAGGCATTTGGCTATGTTGGGCTGAACTGGAAAGATCACGTGGAGATCGACAAGCGATACTTCAGGCCTGCAGAGGTGGACAATCTCAAAGGGGATGCGACCAAGGCAAAGAAGGTGCTGGGCTGGAAACCCAAAGTGGGGTTCCAGCAACTGGTGAAGATGATGGTGGATGAAGATGTGGATCTTGCCAAGAGGGAGAAGGTGCTTGTTGATGCTGGATACATTGATGCCCAGCAACAGCCTTAATTCGCATTCATTCACTTTCAGTCCAAGGGTGAGGGTTAGCTATATATTCACAGTTTTTTTATAACAATCATCTACTTCTGTTATTACATTGTTCGAATGAAGATATCTAGAGGGGAGGGAGAGAGGTCTACCATTAGAAGAACCAATGTACTTTGTTTGAGTCATCCTTTACCATTCTGAAATGCAATTTGAAATTTTGTTAAGATGTGTGTGTTGTGGTGTGTGTTGGTGTGTGTGTGTGTGTGTAAATGAGAACTTTATTGATGGAAATGAAAAGAGGGTACTACGACATGCTTGATAGCAGATCTAACACAAGTAGGAAGAGATGAAAAATTATGATATTCATAAAAGATACGGTGTAGTTCCCCTCATCCTAGCTTCCTTTGTTAGCAAATCAGCTAGGTGGTTGTCTTCCCTCAAAGTGTATGTGGGAGTAACTTCATGATTAAAGATAAGTCTTCTAGGAGTAGTTTGATGGACTGCAGCTTGGCTTCATAGGTTGCGCTTGAGAACTCCTCATGTAGATTCTGTGTGATGGGGTCCCTGCTATCTGTGTATCCAAAATGATGCTTCATTCCAATTCCTTTTGAATTGGGGATCTCATTTGAGCCAACCTGGAACACACAAAGGTTGGTAGCAGATCCAAGTGTCCAAAATAAGTAAGTTATATATTTAGATAAATGTTTAGGAAATTCACTAAATACTCCGCAATCAATAAGATTTTGCAATGCATAAAAACCCCACCATTTCTTTAGGAGGTGTGCCGTCGTCTAGAAGTCCATTTCAACCTTGCCACTTTGATCTTTCTCGTACAGACTCAGAACATTTTTGATCAGTAATGATCCCAAAAATTCCCAAAGATCCGGCTCCCTTGTAAATGGAATCATCTCCATTAATCTTTAGAGAAACTTAAACACCCTCTAGGATTGATAAGTGACTCTACCTATGCAATTGGGAAGAAGTCTGGATTCCGAGTCAGCTACGTAATAGTCATATATAAAAAGATGTAAGACTTTAATATTAGTACTTGGTAATTAGTAATACTTATAATAATATTATAAAATACTCCATAAAAGATATTGAATCTAATAGAGTTGGAATGCTTCTTCCATCGTGTACCTAAGAACCTTAGTTGTCCTACCCAGCAACTCGATGCATTCATTGTCCCACAATGTGAACCTTGCATGGCCTCTAAAAGTAGAAGTTTCTCCTACACCACAACACAATCTGCACAGAGTGCCTTAAGAATTGATTTAATAATTTCATTAGGTGATTTTTTTAACAAACCAAAAAGAGATTCATAAGTATAAAGTTATTTATCTCAACTCGCTTTTGAAACCCATTATCTCAGGCCAAGTAAGTTCTTTCAAGGATGACCATTCTAAAAGCTGGACTGCAATTGAAAGTCATTCTGAGAGAGAAGCTTGGGAGGAAGATCTTCAATGTACTGAAGAACTTTTGAAATCCAGCTTCTACTCCTGCATTGGTTTAATAATTTTATTAGGTGATTTTTTTAACATATCAAAAAGAGATTCACATGTACACAGTTATTTAGTTTCAAATCACTTGCTTTTGAAATCCATTATCTCAGGCAAAGCACCACCCATAACATCCAAGTAATGCGAAAAGATGTAGAAACCTGGATTTGACCTGAATTTTTGTATGTCTATCAACCTTTCGTAATTAAAAGTAGTTGGTTTTTAGTTTTAAAGAGTAATTGTTTGGCGTCATTACCTTTGTATCGTTTGGGCCTGCACATTTGCAGCAATTGGATGATAGAATCAGGATTTTCGAGATTGATGTATTCGGTTACCTTGTCAACGTATTTGCCCCAAAGGGTACACCCAATTCGAATGCCACTATGCAGATTAAGTGTTTTTAGAAGACATTCAAATCTGTGTTCTCTTTTTAAGGGTAAATGTCAAAATCAAACGTGATGAAATTAATGGTAAATTAGAACAATACTCACAGTCCTCATGTGTTAACTCCATCAATTCTCCGTTTGTGTTGCTAGTTTTTTCATTCGCACGCCAGACAATCTTCCCAAAAGCATCTGAAATAGACCAATCAAGGTTGTACTAATTTTTATAGAGCGTTTGTGAAAATGGTAAAAAATGTGGGACAACAACCTATCAATAGTGAGTGTATCGTTAATGACCACTCTGTCATGAAATTTCTCCTGGTAGCTCTGCAACTGAGAGAAATGAAGGAAATCTGTCATTCTTGACAGGCTTGACCATTGTTCTTGGAATGAATTGAATCACGTAGTTTGTTAATTTGTTTTTTGTAAGAGTGATATTGTGATAATTATCATGTACTAGGAAGTTTTGAATTGTGTGCAATCTAACTTCTTTTATGAAGCCAGAATGCAAGGGAATTTGGTCTTGCTTGAATTGACCATGAATTCGTGTTCAATGATAATCAAGATAAAATATTCCCCTCCTTCCCAAATTAATCTTCTCGTCTGCTTTTTTACATAGTTTAAGAAAAGTGAAATTGTTTGGTTGAGATTTATGGAAAGGAGAAAGAATTAATATGGAACACTTATTCTATTCCTTTTAAGGAATGAGAAGTTCGTGTAAGACATTTCTTTTGTCCTTACTCTTTTTCTGTGGAGTTTTTGAACGCGACCTGACTTTAAGGATAGGGAACGTAAGAGTGCCGAGGACCTTAATAACTGGTTGGATTCAGCACATAGATATTTGGAAATGGCTGATTACCATATCCTGTATATTTTTTTAATGCCTTCACTGGGAAATCCAAGAAGGTGCCTGAAATGGAAGGAACTAAGAAGCCTGATCCATCCATAGCCATCAAAGGTCATCTGAGGTATGGACAATGAAATGACAGTGGCTTTTACAAATAGCATTTAAAATTTCTAAGCATGTAATTCTGAGGCCCATTTGATTCCTCTTGCATAGTATCTATAATTGTATCTCAGATCATCTTTTCGACTTTAGTTGAGCTTCATAAAAGTGACCTCCTGTGAAAGGGCATGGCTATCCCAACAGGTATTTGTATCCACATTGGTGATGTGTGACCTGTGGTAGTTTGTATCCACATTAAGATGTTCTTTTTTTTTAATTAAGAGGTTATATTTATTGAATATAATATTTCTTGAAATTATCTAAATCTATAAATTGACAAAAGCACATACTACGTATTTCACTAGGTAGCTGCTAATTCCATAACCATAATGCTATGCAAATAGTCGCTCTTCTGATTAATTCTGGATTTTTTTTGTATAAAAGACCTTACTAGTGTTGTTATAAAAGTAAATTCTTATTTTTGTGTTATCTGTTTAATCAATACCAGAACACGTCACTAAACGTAATGTTGTTGTCAAATTATACTTTTAGTCTTTAAATTAACACCAACACGGCAGAAAATCAAAAAAGGATCATTTGTGGAAAGATACCCTTAAAAAAAGACTACAAGGGTAATATTTGATAATAAAGGACTAAATATGGAAACTCCCCTGTTATAAAGGACCAATTATGGAATTTACTCTTGTTATAACTACAATGTCCTCGAGTACAGCTTCTAATTTTTAGGGGAGTGTATTCAATCAGGATTCTGATGGATTGTTTTGGATTCAAAAATTCCATAGGTATTCAATTTAGATTTTAAAAAGTCATTTAAAATCTGATTGTATTTAACTCAGATTTTAAAAAATCTTTCTAAATGTAATGGTATTTAAAATTTGATAGATTCTTAAAGATTGTAAAAAAAATTGGATTTTGAAGGATTTTTATTTGTTGGGTATAAATACAAATCCACCCTTAAAATCTCACCAAAGAAGTAAAGATTTTTACAACTCCATCGATCTTCTCCCCTGGTCGCCATCCTTCTTCATCTTCTTCCAATTGGGCGTCTTCTTCATCTTCTTCCAATCGATCATCTCCTCAGGTCGCCATCTCTTCCAGATTTGTTGCTACTCTTGCTGAATTGAAGGCCGATTATTGAGGAATTATGAGCGATCTCGTAATCCGATTCTAAAATTGGAGTCCCGATTATAGTTAATTAAGGTAACGAATTGAGGCAAAACGGAAGTTTTTGCACTGTTCGTGAACTCTTGGTGTTTTGAAAATATATCTCATGGCTAGTATTGGATTTCTGATTTGATAAAATTGTGATGAAGTCTTTCAATTCTTTTCTTCTTCTCTTTTTTGGTACGGAGGTTGTATATGTTATTAAGGATCTGTTTGTTTACAGAAAACTATTTTCTTGAGAGGCAAAAAAAGTTTTATTGGCTCTTCTGTGTTGTTTACAGAAAACTATTTTCAAACCTCATATTTACCAGGAAAACAAATTTCCACGATCAAAGTATTTTCCTTGAAACAAACAGAGCCTAGGTCATGAATAATGAATGCATCATAGTTCTCAAGTCTTATTTGGAAGAGTTCATGTTTAATTAGAAACCTGATATATTTTCAAATCAAAAATATTATGATTTGATAATATTGTGATGAAGTCTTTCAATTCTTGAGAACTATGAACTATGAACTCTTTTGGAATTGTTATTTTGAGGCCTTGAGAGAGTTGCTGGAAGTTTGAGGTCAAAGAAGGAATATGAAGGGCAGTGGCAGCCCTAGGAAGATGAAGGGCAAAGAAGGAAGATGAATGGAAACCTTGAACAACTCTTGCTAGAAGGAAGATGAAGGACAACCTTGAATAACTGATCCTTGAGGCTTTGGGTTCTTCAAACTAGTGTAATTAGTGTTGAGGCTAATTTTGAGTGCTTGGAATTAGCACTTTAGTGATGCCAAGTTGGAGGTGTTCTAACGAGTGTGCAGGAGGTTTCCAACAAGAACAATGTATAGATTTTAAAAATAATTCATACTCCGGGTGTAAATAATCCATGAATTATAAACAATCAAATAGAATCATATAAAATCCTATATAAAATACATTAAAATCTACTTAACTCTATATAGATTTAAAATAATCCATGGATTTAACAGAATCTACGGATTCTAAATAATCTAAAAAAATCCATTAGAATCCTGATTGAATACACCCCCCTAAATTTGTATTCTCGTTTCACATATTAGAACTACTCTCTCTGTCCCTGAAAACCTTTCTCCTTTCTTTTTTCATCCGTCCCAAAAAACACTTTTTACTTTTATTTAAAAAGTCTCTTTTATCTCTTACTTTTTTATATCCTATCTATTACATCATATTTTTTACTAATAATTTATCCATCAAATCCTACTTTTACCAATCACATCAAAGAACTTTTTTAGAAATTCAATACAAAAATACACTTTCCTTGCATCTCTAAAAAATCAATAAATTCCATATTTTTAAGACCAGAGAAAGTATAAGTTTTTCTTCTAGATGGTTCAAGTTCACCCACAGTGCTTTCGGTTTCTGGATCCGCCACTGATTGAAAGTCTTATTTCAATCTATGAATTTCGTTTTAAACATGTTAATGATTGTTGACAAATTTTATCGTGGACTTAAGGTGTACCATAGACGTATATATGGGCAAAATAAGTATTTCTTTATTACTAAAATAAGCATTTGTTTTTATAAATAAAAAAATTTAAAAAATATTTTTGTGTGTGTGAAAGTCCACAAAAATGATATGAACTCAAGGTGCGCTAAAGAAATACTCATTAAGTATCCACTTTGGATATTGTAATTTTCTCAGTTCAAAAAATGCTTAAAATCAAAATTTTAATTATTTTTAAAATTATCAAATGTTAGGCATTAGAATACACAATAAAAAGAAGATGAAAGTAAACTCAAATGACAGTAATAGTTAGAAGGGAGAAGTATTGAGGTAGAAGTCAAAATAAGTAATTTTGATACTTTTTTATATTTTACGTCTATAATAGTTTTTCTCTTTTTTTAACCTTTTCAATTTGTTCTAACTTAAATGTGTTATTATTATTATTCAATTGAATAATTAATTTACATAAAAATAAATTAAACATATATTATCAATAGAAAGAACTATAATGTTTTTTTACATTGCACTCATTATAATTAATCAAAATACATTAGAAATTTTTTTAAAAATTACTCATCCTACTTATCTTCTTATTTTTCTACTTTGTAATTATATTCTAGTCGTCGTATAAGGTATATATTAGACATATTAATTAGAATTGGATCTTTCTATATTTTAATATAAAAGTGCCAAGTCATTAAAGTCTTCAAAGGTGGCGGATGACTTATAAAATATTGCCAAGTAGACTTGTCACATGTCGACATTCTATGAGCCCGAGTCTCAAATATTATATAATATAAAGGATAAAGGATATAGGATTATGGATAAATTAGTTGCATTGAATGTTTTATTAATATAACTTTTTATAAGACATCTCAGTTTTCCCTTTATTACTTAAAAATTGCTCATTTTTCTATTATTTATAAAAAAAATTGTAAGCCAAAAGAACTTAGAGAAATAGACTAAAATATGAGTAAAACATAAAAAATGTAAACACAGTCCTAATTCCAAAACTAGGAATTCAATGAAAATAAAACATCAATCATGAAAGAAACAATATGTTTGATTATATGACATGTATGATATTTTAAACAAAATGTTTTAATTAGGGGTGGGCAAAAAAACCGAACTAGCATGGTACCGTACCGAACCGTAATGGTACCGAACCGTTTATAGTGTTTTCAAACGGGATTGATTTTTTTATCACGAACCGAAACCGAACCAATACCAAATGGGACGGGACCGTGATACGAATATTTAAAACCGATTATCACGGACCGAACCGCCAACGCTATATACGGAGTACATATCTCAAATAATTATGGAGTATATGTCTACTTTATCTTACCGTGTATAGAGTACTTCGTATTTTATTATTCATTTTTAAACTCTCTCATTATTATTGTTGTTGTTATATTTATCATTACTATTGGCATTATTTTTTTATAGTTATTAGTATTCCGATATTATATGAATTGGAAAAAAAATTATTTTTTAATATTGGACTCGTTATCTTTTATTTCTTTATGTTTATGATTGGTTTAAATTTGAGATCAATACTTTTATTTAACATTCTTGTGCTTTTTATACATATTTATAGATTAAATTCAATATTCTTTAAGTAATGTTCGTTCATTTTTTTGGCACGGTTTGAGCATGGGTATGGTATTGTACCGTTCCGTTTCAAAACAGAATGGTACCGAATGGTTTTGGAGTTCATCCCGTACCGATAACGAACCGTTTAAATAATAGCGGCCCGTGATAAGTTCTGGTAGTATCACAGACCATCATGGACCGCGCCCACCCCTAGTTTTAATATATAAATTATAATTACAAATACATTATTTATAATAAATACTGCATAAATAAATTAAGGTGCAATATAATTACACAACCTTTTTAAAATTTAATTTTTTTATATTTATGCTAACTTCATATTATAATTATTTTTTGTAAAACTAGTTTTTTGTATTTAAAAAATAACAATACTTTTTTTATATCTTAAAGTCATTCACTAAGATAACGTGATGATGATGATGATGATGATGATAATTTATAACAACAAGAATTTAAAATAAGTATTTTTAAAGTTTTTTTAGATTTTCCAGTTTTTTCCAGTTCTTCCAGTTTTTTTCAGTTTCTTCTAGTTCCTTCCAGTTCTTTTTTAGTTCCTTCCAGTTTCTTCTAGTTTTTTCCAGTTTCTTCGAGTTCCTTTCAGTTTTTTCCAGTTTCTTCCAACATCTAGCTCTTTTTTTACAGTCCTAAAGAACATGCACTAAAATGAAAATTAAGGAAGAGATATATTTTGTGTGTACTTTCCAAAAATAACCTTGATTTGATGTGTAAAAAGTAGGATGTGATGTGTAAATTATAAGGAAAAAAAGTATGATGTGATAGGTATGGTTAGAAAAAATAAGGGGTAAAACTTAAAAGTGATTTTTTTAATAGAAATAGGTAGGAGGTTGTGGAACGCAATTTTTTTGAAAGGTGTAAATCTTTTTGGGACGGAAGGAGTATAATAATAATACTTTGATTTAGTTTCCATATTATAATATGATTAGCTTTCTTTTGTGAATATTGTATTTATGTAGTACGATTTCTACCATGTATAGCCCCGATAATCCACATTATATATTAACATCTTGTATACTCTTATTCATTATTGAACATTTGAACATACTCTTATTCATTATTGAACATACGGATTTACCTTATCTAATTAGTTATTAATGTGGAGGATTCTATTATATATTCATCCACCTATAAATACATACTTTGTATTTCTCTCTTTTTCTCAACATCAACATCGCCACATTGAACCTGTAAGAATTTTTAATAAAATTGTGTAAGATGAAATATGAACAACATGGAACTCCAAACTGAAACCACCACCCAAAGAGTACCAGACTCATAAAAATAAATATTTTAGAGCAACACAATCAAATTCCACGGGCATTAAAAAAATATGCTTACATAATATAGATCCGGAGTGTTTTCTGTTACTTGCATATAATTTATTTATTGAATTGTAAAATCTATTTTACTTATCACGCTCTACACATAAGTTCAAATTTTACAAGTTATATACCATTAGTCACTATCGAAAACCTAATTTTTGAATGAAAAGGTCAACATTACAAATAATTCACATTTATGAGTAATTCAATATTATATTTATTTTTATTAAGTCGGTTTTTGGTCGTTACAACTCCGATCCGAAAACTTTGTCTCCCTTCATGCAACATGCGAAATTTCATCTTTTACAGATTATTTTGTTTATAAACTTGTATAAAATAAAATGTACTTAAATTATATATTTTAAAACAATATCAAAAGTTTTATAAAATAAATGAAGGACTAGTAGCTAATGTGAGTTGAAGGATTACTTATAGAATTTTTTTGAGGTGAAAGAGTTACCGTACTTAACTTATTGAGTTAAAGGATCAACATGCAATTTAACCAATACATAATACTAAAAAAAGGCAATTTAGGCAAATGAGACTTAAATATGTCATTTTTCCTTAAATAGGAGTAGTCCTATTTACTTTAATGTTTAACAATGGAAAGTTCTAAAATGCAAATTTATTGAGAAAAATAACTTATTATACAATTCAAGTAGAATAAAACATTATTAAAAATCGTTTGAATAGTCATTAAAATAATCAATTATTATCCAACACTTATTGCTAATGGCCACATTCGTAAAATTATTTGTATAATCATTCATTATCCAATATTTGTTGCTAATGAAAGTATATATGACAGATCATACGAAAATATGTGTCATAAAGGAATAAAACATACTTGGTCTAATTTAGGGAAACATATACTACTATACTTTTTGGTCATATATGGAGCAAATGTTTCTACTAAAATATACTTTGAAATGCCAATCTACTATACCAACGCTCATTTTTAGGACATAAAAAAATACAATGTTTTATTTAAGATGTTTAATTTTGATACGTATTCAAAGTTTTAGTTCTATTTAAGAAGATTTCTCATTTATAATCGTCGTTAATGGCCCTCTAGTATTATGGCTTCGTTTGGTAACAGCGTTTTCGATTAGCGTTAGCGTTTTGGATAAAATTTTAATGGTGTAGATTAAATCTAAAAACGCTAACGCTAAAGGCTACCGTTGGATAGCTTTTTGAAAACGCTAACGCTAATCTCTAACGCTGATGCCAAACGGGGCCTATGACGGTAGATTTTTTTAATAATCTTTTTTTTGGTTATCATCAATGTGGGGTATGATTATATGAACCAAGACAATGAGTTTAGGAAACTAATTTATGAGAGATTTTTCTTCTGGATTTTTTTCAAAGACGCAAGCACAAAGATAGTCCAAAAAAACAAGTCTCATACACTCACACAACTCCTCAACCACTTTCTCTCCTCCTTTTCTCCATCCGTTTTCCTCATTTCTCAACCGAATCACTTCCTTCTCCCACTCAAACTCTCTCTTTTCTTCTTCTTTCTCCTTCTTCAGCAGCAGTTTCCATGGCAAAACCATCAAAGATTCTAAGAAGATCAACATTCACATTTCTGCAGAACTTCCACCACTTCACCACCACTCCACCCCTACTTGCTCTGCCATTCGCCGCATCGGTTCTCCTTCTGCAATCCATCGTTCTTCGTGCCCGAATTCTCCCTCTTTCCCCCCCTTCTTCTTCGTTCCTCGAAAGACAGATTTCCCAGAACATTGCCATATCTGTCCTGGCATTCCCTTCCACAATTTCCTCATTCCTCCTCAGCAAAGCCTCTGTCATTCACCATCTCTTGATCCAAGAAAGCCCAGAGAGCCGCTCGTTTGCACGGGTTCTCAGAATCTACACCCACTTGGTTCATACCCACATCTGCAATTCCCTTCTTACCCTCTCTGCAAAAGCCATTTCTTTCTCCCTGATGCATTGGGCCCACGGGTTCTTCGCTGCTGCCGTCTCCTGCCTGATTCTTGGCTACACATTCATAATCTCCAACACAGCTTTGATTGTCTCAGGAGTTGAGGGAAGCGGGGGCTTCACCCAAACTCTCAATGTGTGCGCTTTGATCAAGGGAAACGAGGGAGCAGCGCTCTGGTTGACCGTCTGGACCAACTCTGCATTGGCTGCAGTTGAATTTCTGTTCCAATGCAGAGTTGTCCAGGGGAATCGCGACGAAGAAGGGACTGCAGGGATTTTATCATCAGCAGCTTTGGAAGGGATCTTCATTGCCTATTTGTATTCCGTTCTTCTGGTCGTGGACACGATCGTGGGCTGTTCTTTGTTCACCCAGATAGTCCAGGACAGAAGAAGATTGCAGTTCCATAGTGAGATGGAAGATCAGGATGATCATTGTAAGAGTGTAAATTATATAGGGAGTACCGAATTTTGTTTCCCAGATGTGACCTGTGGAACCACATAGGCTGCCTGTTTTTTATGCATCTTTTTGCAATAAACTGTCAATATATATGCTAGAAAAGATTGATGTTAATATTTCACCAATTCTTCGAGACGATATATTCTCTATATCCTAAAATAGATTTCTCTTGAAAGTACATGGAAAACCATGTTTATTTTAAATTTCATTATATTTAAATCGAATTCTCAAAGTGATTCTTTCTAATAAAATATTTTTCTAAATCAGTCTTGAGTAAGCAATAATTATCTATTTGATACTTAATACGGAGTAATTAAGATTTATTCCCTCATATGCTATTAAAAGAAGGAAAAATTATCTCAAATAATCCCACCTTTTAGTGTTCTTTAAAAAATAATCCTACTTTTCACTCTCACCAGAAATAATCCCACCTTCCCGCATGTGTGCGAGTTTTGGATCGCCGTTAAAAAACTAACGGTCACTTAACGGAAATTTTGAAAAATGCCCGTTTTTCGCAAATAAATGAAAGGTGGGATTATTTTAGGTAAATTCTCCCTTTTTTGTTTTTTAATTTCTTTAAATGTATTTTTATTTTATTTTTTTGGAAAAAATACCAAATTTAAGTGTTTTTAGAGTGAAACTAATTTTTTTTCAATAACCAATAATATGGTAATAATTAGAAAATAAATTATTCTACACAATAGAGCTAATTTATTAACTTCATAACTAACTACTCCCTCCGTTTTGTAAGTTACATTTATTGTATTTTTCTTGAGCTGCACTTCAAATTATTTTTTGATACTACATTATTATTATTTCTTAAAAAAATGGCACTACAAAACTTATGAATATTTTTCGATAGTTCTATATAAATATTTTTTGTGAAACAACATTACAATAGTTTTGAAAATAACACAACAATTTTTTTCTCTAAAATAGAACTTTTATTTTTATAACTCACTACATTTTTTGATGTATTGCAATTTTTCCATGAATACTCTGAAATTTTTATTGATAATCTTATATTGCAATAAAATTTTCTTTCTAAAATGGAACTACCCAATTTGTGATTTTTTTAATAATTCAATACAAATTTTTCCCCAAAATAGTAATTCAAAAGTTGTGAAAATGACACAATATTTTTTTCTCCGAAACGGAACCCATAAATTTTATAAATCACTACAAAATTTGTTAATCGTTAGACAAATCTCTAACAAGAG